AAAGGCCTGAGCTAGGGCCAGGCCCCCATAAGAAACTTTAGAGTAAAGAAAGTCATATGATCTTTATTTTTATTAGTTTCTTAAAAATAACCAATACAACTTTGAAAAAGAAAAAAAAGCACTCTAATAACATCACAAAATGTTTTCATATGTAGGGCACAAAGTTCTCTTAATTTCTAAATCACGCATGGATCAGACTTTCTTAGTTTTGAATTTACTTAAACAGATCACCTTCATCAAATAAATCATTAAGTAATACAGGCAAGAATCCTCACTGCGCAAAAAAGCAGCACAGTCAAGTTGCACATGAAAAGCCGAGGTGCGTGTGTTGTGCACCCAGCCACCACACAGCCAAGCTGCGCAGCTCCTCCTCCTCCTGTCAGGCCTCCTCCACCACCGGCCTTTATATGTCTTCTTGAACATAAAAGGTACTGGGCAAAATCCACAATAACACACAACAGATTTCAACAATTTTAAATCTATAGAGTCCCTCCACATACAGAACTAGAAACTCAATGTTTCTTGTTAAAAGCTACCTAAGAATTACAGTACTTGCTGAACTAAGTATCAAGCTAATTCTGTAAATGATAATGAAGTGTAACTAATTCTTTTAAATGCCAAAAAACTTTTTAGGAGTTGAATGGAAACTTAGGACACAGTGGCAATTCATGGGAAATGTACTGCACATACTGGAATTCCTCCATTAGTAAAGATGTTTTCTTAAACTTCTTAGATAATTCTTCATCTCAAACTAGGTTAAATTTTTTTTTTTTTATATTCTAAAGAGGCTATTAATCAGGAATATGAGACCATAAAACTTGTTAAGCCAATTTGTCTGTTTGCACTGTAAAGCTACAATGCCATCAAAGTGGGTTCTGGTTGCTACCCAAACAGTAATACTAGAACAATGAAAATAAAATAATGAATATGTAATAAATACCTACTGCTGTAGTCTCTGTGTATTTAATTACCATTGTATTGGAGTGAGTGCTGTTGTCGGCATGCCCCCAGCTAACAAAGGAAGGATGTCCCTTTGAACAGATTGGTTAAAGCACTGGGGCAACAGATGTCTACTGGAACTGCAGGAGACCAGCAACTGGTGGTCCTGCCCATCTTCTGAAAACTTTCAATAGACTTATGCATATGTTCACACCATGGGGCATGTG